TACATTTCCATTTTTGGAGAGGATATAGGATCTACACAGCCAATAAAAAGTTCAGCAACTAAGTGACTTGCACCATAGTAGGTAATCGTATATATATACAATTACCTACTTATGTTAGACTGTTACATACTTATGATTAGACTATTATATACTTATGATTAGACTGTTACATACTTATGATTAAACTATTACCTACTTATGATTAGAATGTTACCTAATTATTTTTGAGTACCTGTTTTGGTATCTAGTTGGCTTGATATTCACAAATTTGGGTTACAATTTGACCCACGAATTTTTTGTCTTTTGGAGGATGATTGATCCACAAATTCAACATCATTTGGATGACGATTGATCCACAAATTTGACATCATTTGGGTGATGATTGATCTGCAAATTCATTATCATTTAGGTGACGCATTCTCAACACTTTTCCACATGGTTTTCTCATCCCCTGATGTCTTTAATGCAAACTATTCTACATATATTAATATATCATTAAGAAATTAATTAAAAAAAGAAACAATCATTATTCCTAAACACTAACCATATGCACTTCATTTTTCAAAGTCTCAAAGTTCTTCATTGCATTTACAAGCCATGGTTTCTCTATATTCTGTATTTATAAATTTATGCTAAATCCAGACTTCTTTTAAGTAAAAATATAACAAAATAAATCATATCAAAGATTTATCTCTAATGAAGAATGAATAGTCATAATATCTGAAACCTAAAAAAGAATAATCAATTAGACAAAAATATAAAGGTAATTAACTGGAAACAAAAATAAATGTGTGGATCAGATTGGTTTTCTTATTTTCATATGAATTTTTCAAAAATATAGATCAGTAAGTCAAAATTTATAACCTTGACAAAATCCATATTTGGTGTTTAGTGTATATAGACAGCTACTGCCACACCCACACAGTTTGTATAGATGTAGTTCATTCACTGGCTATATATTTCATCTGCCTCAATAGTAGAGAATGATAAAAATATAATAAACATGTAATTTTTTCATCACCCCTCAAGAAAACCAATAAAATTCATCATATCTTATTACTCCTGTACTCTAATCTATTATTGATTGTATTAACTTACATGCTGTTTTAAAATTTTGCCACTTCCAAAATTGCATAATTTTTCTAATCTTTCATCATCATCAATGCTTATGGTGTTTAGTGATCCTTCCAATGTTTCAATAAAATCTCTTTCTCCTTCTCTCAATCATCTGTCGATTCACTGGACTCCACTCATTTATACAATGCAGTAAAGATTGTTATGGCGGAAATAGGTGTAAAAGAAATTAAGAATACTTCCATTTTTAAAGAATCGCAAATAAAAAGCAATGAATATCCATAACTTTGATATACTATCCTTTTAAATGTTTTTCATTCATCTTTTGGATCTAAAGAATGAATAATGCAGAAAGATAAAGCAAACTCTACACCAAGGAATTTCTTTTACAAAGAAAAAGCATGAATATGGGTAATTAATCGAATTTGGCTAATTGCACAAATAGATCATGCAGGATCAGGTGGTTTCACACATTGAGAATCTAAAATAATTTCATTCCACAGCCCCATAATGACACACTGATTATTTATCTGATTGATAATGCAGATGGGGTATCAAAATTTATTCCATGTTACATCAACATGTTATAACTGATAAAGGTTAATCAAATATTTATGTTACACAATGAATTTTTTAGATTACTATTACTGATTTAAAAATATTATTATATGATGCAAGTCACTTAGTCCCACAACCTTTTATTGGTCATGTAGATTTTCAAATTCTCCAAAAATGGAAATGAAACACCCCAAAATAAATCATGTATTTGAAGCCAAGACCTTCCTCTACAAAATCACAATTTCATCTCATTGATATGTCATGTTGTTGTGGAGAATTTTGAGCTTCAAAGTTGCACAATTTTACCAAATTTACTATGTTTAGCCCTAAAATGATGTGTTACACACAAAAAAGTTAATATCAAAAATAGATGAATTGAAACAAAATAAAAATTAGAAAAATTTCCCTTATATTGCAGATCTTCTGTCACACAAATTTTCCAGATGAACATGAAGAGAATTATCTTTATTATTAAAAAAAATATACAAAGAACAGCTAAGTTCATTTATTTTAAATCTAATAAATAGACTATTGCATTTATACATGCAGCCCAAAATATTTTGACACTGTCATAAAGGGGGTTACACGTGTAGTAAAGGGGTGTTACACTTATGTTTTTAATATATAGTGAGTGCCATAATTAATTTCTACTTTCTACCATCAAAATTGGAATAATTTTGACCATTGAAATCACCAAACCA